CATCCCCTGAAAATAAGCCATAATACTTTTCTGGAGCAAAAATTAATAGAAGACCCTGTCTTATTTTCAGGGAAAAACGGTATGTAGCGTCTTCAATCATGCATTACTTGGTCTTTATTAGAAGGACAATGACATGTCCCACCCTATTTTAATCGTAAAGTCTTAGAGAAGATTGGCTTGTGGCCTAATTATATCTCAGTCTATTTACAGTCCCCAAACCATTGTACGCTCGCAGCCTAAATAAGCTGTCCCCAATCAGGTATCCTCTAGACCAGCGGTCCCCAACTTTTTTGGGACCGCAGCCAGCTGAGCCTCTGAGGAAGGCAGGCTACCCCCCGCGTGCGGGGCGCTCTCAGACACATGTGCATACATTCTCAGGCACATGCGCGAAGCGTTGGGGGAGGGCGCACATGTCTGCCAGCACCGGCGTGAGCACTCCCCCACTCCTTCACGCATGCAGAGGACTGACTGCATGCCCTTGCGCGCGCCTGCTCACCCCTTCATGCGGGCGCATGCGTGAAGGGTTGGGGAACACTCACACTGGTGCACATGCACAAAGCAGCTGTGGGGAGGGGAGTGCATGTGGGGGGGCGGGAGGTCTGTCTCCGTGGCCCAGTCCAGCTCAGGCTATGGACCAGCACTGGGCCGCAGACCGGGGGTTGCCAACCTCTGCTCTAGACAAGCTGTGTGACAATTCCTACCACTTCAGCACATTCACAACTGTCATGGGCTGGAAGGTGGCCCATATGGAGGGGACCAGGCTGGGGAAGACAGACCTCCATGCAGAAAAACAAAAAAACAACCTCTGCTCTAGACAAGCTGTGTGACAATTCCTACCACTTCAGCACATTCACAACTGTCATGGGCTGGAAGGTGGCCCATATGGAGGGGACCAGGCTGGGGAAGACAGACCTCCATGCAGAAAAACAAAAAAAATATCTCCCATTAATTTCAGTATGACGGACTTTGTTGAGCTTGTAAGACTATAGGCTCTCACCTTCTGTGCTTCTTGATTATCGTGAATACCACACAATGTTGATGTTCACACCACAGATAGAGCTGGGTAACAACAGAGCTGGATAACAATATCAACCTCCAAAGTAGCAGAGATGTTTTTAAAAGGCACTCAGATTTTATGATTGCTAAGAGGGCTTAAAATAAGACTTCTATTGAATAAGACTCCCCTCCTTCTGAGGGGCTGCAGAGCTCAGAATAACAATAAATTCGTGTGAGTCACTTGACTAGTAACAAGACATTCAGTATTTTTAACTACACCCACGCATAAGCACAGCATAATCTTGTTTTCCCCTCTCATGCACTGCCCTTCTGCTGTGGATGGATTAAGATCATGGATCTGGAGATAATGCTACCAGTGTGAACATCTTATTGTTTTCTTAAGTAATTATTTATATCAAAGGGTGCTTCTTAAACATAAACTATCCCTATACATTCTACAAATAAACATCTGGCTAACATCGGAGCTCAATATATAATTACATATACTGTACATAAATTTCATTATCATAATGGGCTACTTCAAGCAGGCTGCAGAATTCTAACCCAACCAACACCACAAGTGAAAACCAAATTTAAGAACCTCTAAAGAAAATTGGCAAACCTAGGTGGCAATTTTCTCATTGTTTTGAGATTACTTTCAATATGGCAGGTGGTAGTCAAGAGGAGATAAATAATTACCATATGTTCATCTGAATTTCAATTTTTACATTATCGTTTTTTTTTTACAGTATGGCCAAAACCCTACTGTGAAATACAACACACAGGAAGACAATGGCATAAGTGGTTTTCACATGTTGATGTCTGTCTGGATACACAACCAATTCTGCAACCCAAGCTTGTTTGACAGATCAGTGGTAAGATGGTGCATATCACTTTTATGATTGCTGGTTTATTTTTCACAGTTCCAACAGGACTCTGGTGTATGTTATTAGAACATGCAAACTATAAACAACTATAAGCCCCAAATTCTAGTACATAGTTATGCCTGTGGAAGATAAACAGCATAACATGCAGCTGCTTCCCGCTGGCAATACACAAGTCTCTGCTTGGATTTTCAGGCACATGCAAATCCACCAGTTTGGCACACATAGGAAAATCTAAGCAGGGATTTGTTAATTAGCGATGGGAAGTCTCTGTACGTTATGCTTTTCGCCTTCCACAGGTATAACTACGCAACAGGATTTTGGCCTTACAATATTTATCTAAAAATATTTGCCATCGATTTTGAGGAAATATTAATATACTGTATTTGAAAGATAGGGTTTCAATGTATTGTGTTAACTCCTACCACTCTATATATATTTAGAGCCCTTTAAAAAAGGTTATACAGTACTTACATCCTATTGAAACTAGTGAGTTTTAAGTTAGTAGCAATAGGATCAATGTCCTATTGATGATATGTATCTTATAGTACAGGCCTATACATATCCACTGAGAAGTAATTACTGATGCATTTAGTGACACTCTCAGGTAACTGGTATAGGACTGAAGCCTTGGTATCAATGGCGTTCTAGAGTTCTCTTCTACAAAATGTATTTTCAGTGAGCATTTGAAAAACCACCTCTGCCTATTTGAATGCCTTCTTACTGTCACAAATGACAAAGTTCCCAGATTTTCCACCAATAAGCATTTATGGGAACTGTTACCTTAAACAATAGTTCAATTTAACAACACTTTTGGGTAGATGCAATGTGAAAAGTTATACACTTATGCCTAAAACTTGGAGATAGGAGGGCTTTAATTTCTGGTGATTCACTGATTGTAGTTGGACAACTATCTTAATATGTTTCCTGCTTTTTCAATATAAAATAGGGACAATTCTAATTGCCTGATTGAAAGGAGTTGCTTTTTCTGCTGATTTACTGTAATATTACTGTGTTTTCCCGAAAATAAGACAGGGTCTTATATTATTTTTTGCTACAATAATGCAGTAGCGCTTATTTTCAGGGAATGTTTTTTTTTTCATATACAACAATCTACATGTATTCAAATACAGTCATGTCATCTTCTTATGGTTGCTGCACAATGGTGGAGGGCGGGGTTTCACTAAACTGGGGCTTATTTTTGGGGTAGGGCTTATATTAC